AAAAACATATTCGATAATAGAAGTCCTCAATTGCCAAATGAAGTAGCAACCAGCTAAAAGGCATTTACATTCTTTTATGCTTTGAATTTGAGTTTATGAAAAGCAATATAAAAGGGATTCTATACAGTTGGTAAGGCAACCAGATGCTCAAAACTACAGATCTATATCATCTTACCCACCAAAGTAGCCACCAAAAATCTCTAGATTCTACTGTTTTGACTAGTATAAATTATATGAGATGAGATCGCCTATAAACGACCATTGGGGCCCAAGAGGTATAAATACCATTTGGGCCGGCCCACAACGAAGATCATTTTTCTCCAACGGTTTAGTTCGAAACTGAACAGACCAAAGCTCACCTCTCTCTCCTCCATTGTTGCTCCTTCATCCCTCAAGCAAATCCTTGATTCCAACCATCAATACTTGAGAGAAAATGCAGCAAAACTCGATTGGAGAGAAGATCCACTGATTCCCAAAGTCTAAGAGCATTTGGTTCATGTTTGACCGACGGTTTTAGGGTTTGTTACTCTTGGAGCTTGCTCCTAGCCGGTTAGGCGTCGCCCTTGTGCTTGCCAAGTTGTGTGGCAGCCTTAGAAGGTTTGTAACCTCATCCTACAGCTAAGAAATTACCCCTCACTTCAAGAGTTTATTCTCTTGATTTGAGAACGAGGGCAAGGCAAGCCTTGGTGGCGAGCCAATCCTTTTGTGGATGCCTCAACAACGTGGACTTAGGCAAGCCTTGGTGGCGAGCTGAACCACGGGATAAATTTTGTGTCTCGCGTGCTTCACTTTGTGTTCTTGCTGGTTCAGCTCTTTGCTAGCTATTGTTAGGGTTTGGTAGCTCGATCCTCTCTTGTGTGAGATTTCTGTGGTATCCGGTCTTCGAACTGGATTTTATCTTTCTGTTGCAGGATTGGGCAGTTGAGAGGGTTAGGTTACTATCTGTTAAATCTCAACACTATCTGCTTTATTTTTGAAGAGCGGCAGTGCCGCCCTCTATTTTAACAGAGTTTCAAGTTGAATTTGTAGGATTGAGCAGCTGAGAGGGTTAGGTTACTATCTGTAAAATCAAAAGCGCTTTATTTTTAAGATCTAAACACACCAGTTTCGAGTTATTTTACAGACCTATTCACCCCCCCTTTAGGCCTCCTAGCGACATCAAGGTCCTTTCAACAAGAGACCATCTGGTGAAACTGAACTAGCTAGCTCTGAACAAACAACACAAAAAGATTCAGTAACTAAACACACCATTATATCTGAGTAATTCTAGTGAGATCATTGAAAACCTGAGACAAGGACACTACTGCATACAGGAACAGTTCTTATAGCAGTCAAAATAATACTAAGAAAACATGATGGTGTAGCTACAATACAAACATCAGAGAAATAAGACAAGGACACTTAGTCAGTAGTGAATTCACATTACAAGTAGCATTTTGAAATCAGGAACATATTCTACAAAATATACAAGGTGCTAGACCAATAATTTGGTCTATTGGCAGAAATGCATACACTAAGTATCTAAATTGCACTGTTCATCCAAGTTGCACTGTTCTAGCTGATGACTAAACTATACTACTGCTAAACTGAACTACTGAAAAAGAAATTAACAGCCAATTGAAATTGAAAGCACGCGTACATAGAATAGAAAAATGGACAGAGAAATCTGAATCCTCCTGCAGCTAGCGTTCACCAAATCAGGCAGCCCATGAGTGATCAATCAAAGATATACTGTATAGTAATTAATTAGATAACTGTTTTATATGCTTCATCAGTAACCGGCCAAAGCAATTGCATTGCTTGCTTTGCACAATGTCTTATATGCTTCATCAGTAACTGTCTGTTAGTTCCATAGGGAGATATCGTGGCCCAAAGTCAAATGACCAACTCAGCAAGGAAAGAAAGCTTTGCACACAACAGAACTGAACATGGGCATGCAATGCAATGCAATTTGACAGACTGAACTCTGCAGAGTGCTTCTTGGGTGGGCCCATACGTACATTGTACTACAAGTATATACCATCACATGATGAATCTGTAGGATTTGCTGGTTCTTGCTTGTGCTAGTAAATCAAATAGTTTACAGTGGCTAAAACTCCGATCCCTTTGGAAATTAATTAACAGGGTCGGGGCATTGTAGTTGTAGCCGGCCGGCACCAAGTAAAAGCTTTTTTTATTTACAAATACATCTAGTTATGTTAATAAATATGGTATTGCTAGAATGAATAATCATGTTTAGCATTAGCAACACAAGTATCTATCAAGAAGCTGATACGAATATGATAGATAGATGGTACATAGAAACAACTAGTACATAGATGGGTGTTGTTGATCTGATCACTGATCACTAGTACCCATCAGGTGACGAGATGATGCATGAAAATGATGTGTATAATTAGTAGAAATAGATCGGCGCCCACTTCTAACCCCCACGAACTGATCATCATCATCATCACCATCCTACTACCAGGACTCTCAACTAGAACTAGAGACAAGATCAAGAACCCTAGAGGAGGGAGACAGGACGAGGACGAAGGGGAGAGCGAGGGGATCACCGGCGAGAAGGACGAGGAAGGGGGAGGACGTAGGGTTGCCGTCGCCTCACGCCGCCCCGCACCACCCCGCCGTCGCCTCTGCTGCGTCGTCGCATGCTCGCGTCGTGGAGACAGGGAGACAGCACCGATCCGGATGGTAGGAGGTGTGGTTCCGTTCCGGGCCGTGGAGACTGGGAAAAGAGAAGCCAATTTTGGTTGCGGGCCAGTTTTCGTTCCAGGCCGGCCCGAAACAAACGCACATTTTAGTTTCCATCCGGATTGGAAACGGGCCGCAGCAATCCACCCGGAACGAGCCCGAGAACGGGCCAATCCGGTAGAAACGAATGGGGGCATAGGATTTGGAATCTATGTGACACGGTATTGTTTAACTCCAGCTTTTACTATATTGTACAAGAGGCTCCTGCTGGTGAAAAAAAATTATCGTCTCCTAATTGCATGGAGCAACGAGCTTCATCACCAAAAAAACATTCCTCGAACAGCGTTGCTGATTTAGGCCTCATTTGCCTCAGTTTTTTCAGTAGCTTTATGAGTTATTTGAAATTGTTTTATGCCAAACAGATTCACATGTGACACTTCTCAAAACCTGCTGTCATAAGACTGTTCACAACGTGAGCGGTGCGAAAAAGAATCTTCGCACTATGTTCATTCTGATGCCCAGAAACCATGAAATCGATCTACATCGATGTTTGAGTGCATGTGGGTCCAAAGTTGTCAGAACTTTACATGATTTCCTTCCTTGCCTTCACACATCCATCCATTGAGAAATAATTGTTTATTTGTTTAGCACCAAAGCAAGAACACTACTTGATGCTTGCAATTTTTCCTTCAGCATCGGATTGCATGACTCGATGCTTCATCATTCTCTTTCTTCTTTCAGCATCGGTAAAAACCAACGAACCTTTGTATATGCAATGATAGTGCTGGGAGTCAGACTTCCGTCTACACCGAACGCCCCTGTCGGTGGACTCGACATACAGAAGCTGCCGTTCTTATCCGCTCCATTTGCTCCTTTCCATTGACCGTATTGTAGAGTAAAAAATTCACACATCACTACCGCTCCGCTCCGCTCCGCGATCGGCTCCGCCATGGCTCCCGCACGCCTCCCTCTCTACCGCGCCTCCCGCCGGCCTTCCTCTCCATCACCGCCCGCGCCCGCCACACCGCCGCGGCGTGCTCCCCACGGCCGCACTGTCACAGCGTGCTCGCCGCACGAGATCGCACCACCCGACTGCTGTTGTCGCCTCCACCGTGTGCGCCCTATCGTCGGGGGCCGCACAGCTACCCGCCCGCCGCTGCCATCCTCCTTCTCCACCACGCGACCGCACAACCGGGATCCCATTGTGCCATGCTCCGCCCGCCTAGCGGCCATGTTTTGCTGAAAGCGCATGTTGCAAGCGTATGTTTTGAGTGTTTCAGATGTTTCAAAGGTATGTTGCAAGTGTTTCAAATAGACGTTGCAAAAGTAGATTGGAATGTTGCATATGTTGCAATGGTTGTACACGTATGTTATAAAGGTTTGTTACCAATGTTTCATCTATGTTTTCTGGACGCATGTTGCAAGTGTGTTTATCTGGATGTTGCATGTGTTTTTATATAGATGTTGCGTATGGTTGCAATGGTTTTCAAGTGTTTCAGAAGCATTTTTCAAGTGTTTCATCTGCCTTCAGACGTATATTGCAACTGTTGTATTTGAATGTTTCAAAAGTAGATCGGGTGTTGCATCTCTCCGGACTCCTCGTCTTCCACTGCATTGTCTCAGTGTGTCCTCCTCTCGGCACCGACAGGGCATCCATACGACGTTGTGGTCGGGTCCTTCCGAATCAGAGGCGCCACCTCCTTCCCCCTTGTTGCTCGGGCAGCGCGGGCCCTGCATGGAGCACGCGAAACGGAGTGCAGAGCGCGGGCATCCGTACGGACGTTCGGGCACTAGCTAGCGCTCTACTGTATATGTAAAACTATTTTGTCAAACTTTCACAAAAATAACTTCAGGCTCTACCAATAGAGCGAGTTGCACAGTCCATGAGAGCATTTTTTAAAAAAAACTGCTTTTTTGGTGAAACGGGCGTGTGGCAAACAGAACCTTAGCTTTGGCCAGACTTTATATCCATGTTGTACAGTCTACCGGCTACCGGCTGCACCATGATGCGATGATGATATTGTGATGTGCCAGTGCCACGCTCTGCTCCGTGGCCCGTGGGGGCGTCGTCGTGTGGAAGACGACGATCCCGCGGTGACATGTGTGGATGCCCAGCCTTCCCACGTATCAAAATCCGCACTCCCCATTGGCCGGCCTCATATCCCCTTATCCACTTCGCCACCCGCGGTCTCGGCCACCACCCCTTGTCCTCTTAGCTGCATGCTAGCGCGGCGCCCTCCATCCAGTCCAGTGCTCTCTCCTCTTGCGAGATTCGCTTGCTCGACCCTTCCTTCCAAGAAGCAGCGCCCATGGCCATGGCCACGCAAGCCTCCGCCGCCACGCGCCACCTGCTGGCCGCCGCCTGGGCGAAACCACGGCAGCTGAGCTCGCAGCTCGCGATGCCGCCGCCGTCGTCCTCCCGCGGGCCGGCCCCGCTCCGCGCGTCTGCCGAGGAGGTGGTGACCGAGGAGGCGCCCAAGGGGTTCGTGCCCCCGCAGCTGGACCCCAACACGCCGTCGCCGATCTTCGGCGGCAGCACGGGCGGGCTGCTCCGCAAGGCGCAGGTGGAGGAGTTCTACGTCATCACGTGGACGTCCCCGAAGGAGCAGGTGTTCGAGATGCCCACGGGCGGCGCCGCCATCATGCGGGAGGGGCCCAACCTCCTGAAGCTGGCGCGCAAGGAGCAGTGCCTGGCGCTCGGCACCAGGCTGCGCTCCAAGTACAAGATCAACTACCAGTTCTACCGCGTCTTCCCCAACGGCGAGGTGCAGTACCTCCACCCCAAGGACGGCGTCTACCCGGAGAAGGTCAACGCCGGCAGGCAGGGCGTCGGGCAGAACTTCCGCAGCATCGGCAAGAACGTCAACCCCATCGACGTCAAGTTCACCGGCAAGAACACCTTCGACATCTAATCCATCGCATGCATCACGTACGGCCGGCTACCCAAATTGAAGGACTTGCTTGTTCTTCTTCCTCTTATATGAATTATAAGTTAGCGGTGGTGCCATGCATGGTTTGATAGATGATCCATGTGTAATTTTATTATCAAGTTTTCTTGGTGACCGCGTGGAGGCGCAGCGTGGGATTATATGTACATGTTCATTTGCTCGTCATAACGTTGCTTCTTTGCATAACACCGATCCATGATCATCGTTAGTAATTTAGTCCTATATATACGTATATATTCATTCACTCCGTCCAAAACAACTAGTATACATATTTAAAGTCATAAGTACATGTTAATATTAATTAATAGTATATAAATTTAATCAGTCTTAAACAAGTTTGACTCAGTTTGATCCTAAAATTGCATCATGATATGAATATGTTCCAAAAATCAGACAGTAGTCAACTATTGATTCAACACCTACAAGTTACAACGACACTACTCCGCTTATCCTAGCTACGCCTGAATTTTTCGAACAAGCATGCCACTTGCTTGTAAGATAAAATCAGGTGTTGTTTAGTGTTTAGTGCTTAGTGCACGGAATTATAGTGTACAAAAATTTGTGTATCTTAGAGGATTTTAATGTAGATGCTTTAGTTACACCAACTCTGTCTCTAGTATATTTTATCTAAAAAAATCATAATATTGTGTATCGTGTACAATTCTTTTTATTAAGGGACCGTTTGGATCCTTTCATTTGGATAAATTGAAATCTATTTAATAAACTAGACTATTTAGCTTGAAATTTGATATTTCACCACTTTACAAAGTTCACATATAAGCCTATTACAAATTTATAGGGTGGGAGATGGAAATTAATTATATATATCACCGTGACGTGTTTCTACTTTGCAATTTATAACATGTTCTTCAACTCGCTCCTCTACGGTATAAATGCAACACATAAGTATCTCTCTCGTATAGCCAACAATAATATACAAATATAATCCATATACAACCATATTAGCTTAATTATTATGTGTCTAAATTTTGATTATTAAAATAAAGTCAATTCTAAGGATCCAAAGGCGGCCTAAGATTTAAGTGTATAGATCTGCATACAATTATGAAAAACAATAGATCCATAATCATTCGAGGAGGACGGTATCCTAGAATGCACACACAAATATGTGTTTAAGCATGGTCACCAAAAAGAATATACGGTGTAAAAGTATTTTATCTCTTCAATGTCTTATTTCATTTTGTTGTTTCGAACACATAAGCTAGAGAATATTATTATGGCAGAAATAAATACTCATTTTGTCTTATCTAGATGAAACCTCTTTTTCTCGTATTTTATCTCTTCAAAGTCTTATTTCAATTTGTTGTTTCCATAACATAAGCTAGAGAATACTGTGGCAAAAATAGGAGCTCATTTTATCTCTCGTTTTATTTTTTTTATCTCATTAAAACTACTGAGATGGCAACACATTTAATGAGAATTAAACCCTAGGACTAAACTTAGTGTTAAGGGCACCAGACGTGTATGAAAAAGGAGGTCCTAATAAGTAAATTAATGCATGACTTTATAAAAATAGAGGTCCTTAGAAACTTAAAAGAACGATATTTTATACATTAGAAGGGTCCACACATCAAAGGAGGCCTCAGACAGAAAAGGCTTAAGTATCGACCATAAGTTGTTGTTGCCTCCATCGCTAGCCACAAGGACCAGATAAAAGTGGATTTTTTTTTCTATTTTAAATCGGGCTCACTTTAAGGACCACTTCCCTCGTATTGTGGTAGAGAAATTAATGTCTACATCTATTGCAAAATAAAAGAATTTTGCAAATGGAGCATAATCAGTTGGTTAGGTTATGTCACAAAAAAAGGTTTCTTATAGTAAAACATGTCTACCTAAGCTTGAGCTTTCAAGTTAGTATGGGCGGTCGGATTTTCATTATTATCCCAATAGTATCTATCGCCTTAATCTCTTTTATAAAATCTATAGAAGTAGAATGTGTCTATGTATATTCACAGAGATGAGTGTGTGTGCACTTAGACTATCTCCAACAACAACACCCAAAATACAAGACCCATTCAACGTTTGGGTAGCGCTACAGTCAAATGGTTCAATACACATTCGACATCATCTCCAACAATAGGACCCAAAAGAGAATCATTTCTGCAAATGAGTTTCCAGGAGAGAGGATACTCATATTTGGGTTGTGCCTCTCAGACAACCCAAAATGGGTCTCCCGTATAGGTACTTTGTTGGAGGCTGATTTTGGGTCTCCTGCTACTCATTTTGGGTTTGGGTGCCCATATGGGTCACATGTTGGAGACAGTCTTATATATGAGTGTCGTAATGTTTTCTTTTATGGAATACAAGAATACATATATTCTTTTTCTTTATCACAATTTAAGCTACGAGTCACCTCCGATACTTGGGCCTACCCGTTGAGATTTTATAATGGTGTTTCAAGAAAGCCACATGTGTAAAAATGTATTTTGTCTTTTCAATGTTTTGTTTCATTTTGTTGTCTCAACAACATAAGTTAGAGAATATTGTGGCAAAAACCACTCATTTAGTTTTGTCTAGATGAAACCTCTTTCTTCTTTTGCTTATTTTTCCATCTCATAAAACTGTTGACATGACAACCTATTTAATGAGAATTAAACCCTAGGGCTAAACTTAGTGTTAAAGACACCATCAATATATGAAAAAGGAGTCCCTAAGAAGATTAATGTCCAACCTTATAAATAAATGTCTTTACCAACTTAAAAAATGTCAATGTTTTATACATTAGAAGGGTCAACCTCAAAGGAGGCATTAGACAAAAAAAACTTGAAGATTGACCATAGGATTATCACTAGCCTCATCCCTAGGTATAAAAAAATCAATTTTCCTTAATTACTATGGCCTCCTCTTTAGCCACAAGGAAGAGATAAAGGTGGGGTTTTTCTATTTTAAATTGAGGTTCACCTTAAGGATCACTTCGTACCTTGTATACTTAAAGGCATCCAGAGTACGACAAATTTACAAATTTTAAACCCCTTAGAGTCGACCTCATACACTATATGGGTAGACCTTGAAGAGGCCGTAAGCAAAAAAAAAAATTAAGGCCAGTTTCAATCTAAGGACCCAATCTCAACATTAAGATAACTTTTGTTCCTAGTTCCCATCTTTCTTCTCTATTGTCGGCAGTTGGTGTTGAGGGAAGCCTAGGTTAGAGCACATCACCGATGATATTGAAGTTCTAGAGCATCCCTACTAGGGGCGGAGCTAGGCCCTTTTTACCGTGGTCCATCGACCCCGATAGGATTTGGCAGATCAGTGAAATTTTTTTGTTGTATATTGTTGATAACACTAATAATCTTAGCTTATAATGTTGAAGACCCCATCGATTCTTTGGGCTGGCTTCGTTACTGATCCCTACAATTATTCTCTATACAAGGCGATGAGCATCGAGGATAATGGGTATCAATCATCTTAATTGAGCTATGGTTCCTAGGTTTTGGTCCACCTAACGTCCCAGCTAAGAATCCGATCTAACATGATCCTGCAAGTGATGGGAAGGTCACCGCCTCTTGCCACCACCGACATGGAGCCACTGTCCCTACTCCTTCATTGGAGTTTAGGGAAGGCTAGGTCATCATCGATGAAACCACCCTCGCCCCTCAACTTCCTCACCAACGTTCTAGAGGAGGCAGAGGCATTGACGAATCTCATCTACTATGACTACTGATGGTAGACAACCTGACTTCGTGTTACGGTTAGTCCTAATTCACATTAGGTTACTTATTTTTCATGTTAACTACATCAACGATCCTGTGGTTTAAGCTCTTGTTAGCTAATACCGGCATGCTAGCGTGGAATCAGAACTAGGATATATAGTGTAGGAATTTCATGGAGACTATCAAGGGTCTCGATGGAAGGAGACGATCTCATGTGTGGCTGTTATGTGGGACCTAACTTAGTGCCTCAGCTATGCAAAACGGAGAGACCTTAGCACCAACGGGACAAACCTTAAAGTTGAGACGGATTATATATGTCCCAGATGCCCCACGTAGAAACAGATCTTAGAGCATCTCCAAGAGTTTCCAAAACCCATTCCCAATCTTGATTTTTTTGCAAGATTAAAAAAATTGCTCTCAAATAATTCCTCATCTCAACCCTTAATCTTTTCACACTTGGGAAAATCGATCCAATCGCGTGGACATAAATGCCCGCCTATCATTCGGCCAATGTAGCGGTGGAAGGACATGAAGAAGAAGAATAAGAAGTAAAGAGTAAAGGCAGGGTTCTCAATGCAAATGTACAAGAGAGCAAGAAAATATAAATGTGGTTGAGGTGATTTAAAAAATGCCCAATATTCTCGATCCCGATGTAAAATTGTCTTGTATATTTTAGAAACAAAATTTCAAAAACAGGAAAAGGATATGCCTTTAATTTTTTTAGCCACTTGCAAACTCACGGAATTAATAATGATTTTTTAGGAACTATCGGAGATGTCCTTAGTACACGTGGGACCTGCTTAAGCTTTATTGGGGCCTTATCCGAGACCCTAAGAAGTTGTATGGGTAACATCATCGATAATGCTTGGTTGAGGGCGTTCGTCCAGACAGACGGACCGACCCGCCCTCGCTGTGCGCTCGCGTTGTGTGCAGCCCCCCACCCCCAACTCCCCACCCCGCCCGCGTGGATTCACTGCCTCCACCGCGTCTCCCGCCGCGGCCATGCTCTATCCGCCTGCCAAGGTCCGTGTCGCCGATGAGCTCCGCACCGGTGACCTCCGCACCGGCGTTGAGCTCCGTATATTTCATGCGTTTCAGATGTATGTTTCATCTAAATATTGCATGTGTTTTATCTAGATGTTGTAAAAGTAGATCTGGTGTTGCATATGTTGCAAGTGTATGTTTCAAATGTTTCATATATATATTGCAAGTGTTTTATCTTGACGTTGCATATGTTGCAGTGGCTATACACATGTTGCAAGCATATGTTCCAAATGTTTTTCCTATTTCAGACGTATGTTGCACCAAGTGTTTCATGTTGTAAGTGTTTTCATTAGCAGACGCAGCAGCGGGCGCAAATGGAATCGGTCCTCGTGGGCGCAAGCGGTCCCCGCATGCACGCGGGAAACGAAGCGGGCACGGGCGGTCCCCACGTGCATGCGCAGCAACAGGTGGGGACCGGCGGGTAGGCACAGTAGACGGGGCAGGCGCGGGCGTACGAATGGGCCTAGCGCGCGGAGGTCCGAGCCCTGGCCACGCCATAACATCAAGTAAATCTTATATTTAGTTTAACCTCTGCTCTATATGCCACTTCAGTCAAACATAACAGATCCAAATAAAATATTCACCGTCGGTCTCCCATTATATATACCACATCTTCTTATATGAATCCTGGGTCCAAAAGCTGGCCGGCGAGAGTGGCCACGTCGCACTCATGTTTCGTTAATTATTATAACTTCCCAACAGATTGCCATCTTAGGTGACACCAGTTCAAAAACTGGAACTCCAAAACGAAGACTACATGGAGCAAGGTGTTGAAGAAAAAACTCTGTTTGACCTCAAACAGATATAATAACATTTTCGATCCGCAAGGAGCCCAGATCATCTCTCAGGTTAATTCTATGCATAGTGACCAGCAAGATATTCTTAGATGGATTCCGGTAAAAAAAGGGCGATTGCACAACTAAAAATATTTACAGGCATTTAAGGGCACAGATGCAGGTCCAGCTGCCTCAACAAGGCTCGCGAAGCATTCTTCCTCAAGCCAATCACATCCTCCGTAGGATGTGGAAACTAAAAGAGATTCCTCCTCTTATTAAGACTTTCACCTGGAGGCTCATTCAAAGGGCTCTGGCAACTCGACAACGAGCAGGAAGATACTCACCTAACATTGACAAACTATGCACTGCATGTGGCAGTTTACAAACTGATGCTCACCTCTTTTTTCATTGTGACTTTGCCAGAGCAGTTTGGTTCTTGGCGGATCCACCTCTTTGTACCCACTGCTTGCCTGAAGAGGAAGATGGAGTCCAGAATATACTTTCATCATTCATCTCTGATTCTACTTCAAATTCCTTATTCCAGAAATTTTTAATAATCCTGTGGTATTTATGGAAGGCGAGGAATGACTAGAGATTTCAAAGGAGGATTTGGACTCCATGGCAAGTACAACATGCGCTTTCTGCACATATTGCCACACACAATGCAGCTCTATTTGCAACTCAACACGACCTACAGTAGGAGGATGTCAATCAGCCAACGCAAGCCATCAAAACTGCTACTGCAGGAACTACAACACCTTCCGACTGCGCGCACAGCTGCATGCCATCATCGTCATGTCTGGGTCAAACGCCAACGACAAATGAACCTGGAACATCAGGTATGAACGAGTATTTCACAGGGTACCATCCACGGGGGACTCAGGTGTGCAGCTACAGCGCCATGGTGGACAACACACTCATCAGGCCATCCACCGATGACGCTGGATCATCAGGTATAAACAATTCAGCTGCAGGATGCACTGCCATTTCGATGGACAGGTACACGATCCACTGCTTCAAGGCATCAGATGCTATGCTGATGCATCCACTTTGCCTGATCATCCTTCAATTCCATCGAGAAAGGCTGGAATTGGCGTCTTCATTATCAACAATCAGATGCAGCCTCCGCAAACTATCTACATCAAGGCGCTCATGACAGGCTCAAATTCAGTGCTCATGGCTGAGGCTGCGGCTCTGGCTCTAGCAGCAACTGTCATTGATCGGCTGAATTTCAACAATGTCAACTTTCTTTTTCGTTCAAGTAGATAGACCATGCCATCATGCTATGCTTGCTATTATATCGATTTATGATGTCACCGACTCAACACCTTAGATTCTCAAATACTTATCATGAGCACCAACAAGTAGTGATAGGTGACATTGAACCACATTGTATTGTATTAGACATCATTAAAATCAGATTCACAATACCACACGCATGCTGTTGCTTTCTAGTGTGAAAGGAAAATGGTTGAAAACAGGAGGCGGCCCGCGTCAGTGCAAGTATATATGGCGCCAACCAAACAGATCAAAAGAAAGACAAATTTTTGCATGCATGGCCGCCGTTGTTGCTTGCATGAAACGAAAAAGATCTCCCAACCCCAACTTCCAACACACCAGCAGAGCCCACTCACTCACTCATGGCACCAGAGACGTCACCCAACCACACAAGCAGAGGAACATACATGAGTAAAAAAAAGCATATATGGCACCAACCAAACAGACCAAAAGAAAGACAAATTTTTGCATGCATGGCCGCCGTTGTTGCTTGCATGAAACGAAAAAGATCTCCCAACCCCAACTTCCAACACACCAGCAGAGCCCACTCAGAGACTCATGGCACCAGAGACCTCACCCAACCACACAAGACTTGGATTCACGGCCAGCTTTTGAGTTTGTTTTACTCAAGGAACATGCATGAGTAAAAAAAAACAGCACAGGAGCAACCAGCTGCCAACACTTGACCAAGCAGCGCAATCACAACGTAGCAGAGCACAGGGGCAAGATGGTCATTACAGGGGAAACGTCCAAAGTCTCTAGTCTAGCTATAAAATGGTGACGGTGCACCCCAGAGGCCAGCGCAGCAGCATCGGTGTATCGTCAAGCAAAGCGCAACTAAATATAAATTCCTTCCCTCTCTTCTGCTCTTGGCATCTCGTCTTCTCTGTCTTCTTGCTTTCTATATCTATATATATATATATAGCTTCAATCACAAATCACAAGGTCGTCAGAGAGGGTGTGTGGCAGCTCTTGGACAACAGGAGACGAGATCGAGCAGCAGGCAGTTCAGCAATGGCGGCCATGGGCATGAAGAAGGGTCTGCTGGTGCTGACTCTTGGGCTCGCCATGGCCGCTACCTCGTCGGCCGTCGTCTACAAGGTCGGCGACACCTCCGGGTGGACCATCCTCGGCAACGTCAACTACACTGACTGGACTTCCAAGAAGAACTTCCGTGTTGGAGACACCATAGGCAAGTTCCGTCTTCTCTCGCTCAAGTCATCCATTTGTGCTAGCTACCACATTGTCATGCAGAATTCCCTTCGTTCGAGTACCATTTCTAGTTAATTCTTGCAATGTGTAGCTTCAGGAGTAGATTAGATCCATTGTTAGCCACTGCACTATACATTTCCTTTTTGTCAGTCTTGCTACAGTTTATTGCAGCATATCTCGCTCTCTACTCATTTTCATGAAGCAGATTACTGAAATGCTTCATGCATGTTTGCTGCAATCTGCTTCGCTAGCATTGCTCAAGAGAAAACACACATAATAGATTCAGTGATACGTTGAGCAGGCACCGCCCCCTCCTTTCCTCACTGGTGCAAAGGCGAGCGCCAATCACTTGTCACCGTCACTACTTTTACAACATGTCCTGCTAGCTCCTTCCGGCCCGTTTGTCTTTGCGTTTACATGAAGAGTCTTGCTTTAAGCCTTTAGCCTGGCAATGGCAACGGAATTCTGCTTTTATGTTTCTTACTGCACTGCACGCTGCGAGCTTTACGTAGTCATATTGAAAGGCACTCACGGATGCTTCGTGCCTGTGTGCTGTGCACAGTAATATAGTCCATAAATTTTACTGACGGGCCACTAGATGTCTGAATCACAAAAGCCAATCAGGAATCCAAGAAATGGATACACGCATGGCCTGGTTTAGGTGCCGTGCAGAATTACTGCACCAGAGCATACTATCGAGGCCCTGTGCCAGCTACAGATGTTAATTGCCTGTTATATCTGTCGGAGCACTACCTGAACTTTTAGCACGGATTGAGAAATGGTTTCTGACAGTGTCAGCTCGATGTCTTTCGCTCTGCTGTGCATGATCTACCATGTAATCTGCGTTTCAGTCTTAATAATCTGAAGCTGTCTTTTCAGTAGTTGCAAAATCAGGCTGTTTATACTCTATCTGTGGACGTAATCGAGGACCATATATTATGGTTATCATGAAGATGCTAGAAAAAGGATAGTAATATCATTGCCAAACTATCATCTAGACGCAACCACCATGCGTGCATCTATCAGTAATTCAGTATACATACTACTATGATTTCTGCTTAATGAATACCGTGCCAATGGCGCGTTCGAGAAAAAGAACTTTGGCAAAATTTCAATCATGAGTAGCATACAAGCATGTTTGTTTTTGGGATCGGTGTCAGACAAAGCGTTGGTCTCTTTACAGGGTAGATGTACCGTAGGCGTAGGGTGCACGTTTTTCCTCATTCCAGCCGCTTCTTTTGTTTCTGTTCTTTGCGTGGTCATTCTGGCATCGAAAGATCATATAGAGCACGTCTGATGTGATGATGAGCTGACATGGAGTCGCATCGCATGGCCGCGCGCGTGCAGAGTTCACGTACCCCCCGGGCATCCACAACGTGCTGGAGGTGAAGAAGGCCGACTACGATAGCTGCACCAACTCGACGCCGATCGCCACGCACACCTCCGGCGACGACAAGGTCGTCATCAAGAGCCCCGGACACCGCTTCTTCATCTGCGGCGTTCCCGGCCACTGCGCCGCGGGCCAGAAGCTCAACATCCGCGTCCTCAAGACGCGCTCCTCTGACGCCCCTTCCCCGGCGCCCGCCACCGCGCGCTCAGGCTCGGCGGCGTCCCCAAGCCCCAGCGGCAGCACCGAGCCGAGCGGTGCCTCGGCGCCGCCGCCCGCGTCGTCCACGGACAGCACGCCCGACGCGACGGCCACCACCGCTCCCGCGCCCAACGCCAACGGCGCGGGGGTCAGTGCAGGCCACCGGGCCGTCGTCGTTGCCATGGCGCTGGCGGCGGTCGCCTCCACGGCGATGCTGCACTAGATCACCACTCCCTACCCTATGCGATTCTTTTGCCATACAAGATGCCTGTGGAGGTTTTCCTTTCCTTTCTTGTGTGTGTGTGTATGTGTGTCTGTGTTCTTGTTAGTTGCTGATGTGGATTATATTGTTGAGATGTTGTGCTTTTCTCAGGTTTCTTATCTTCAATGTTTTTCGTATTTCTCCTGTTTGACTTGCAATATCCGCGGACGTAAATTCATATTTGCATTGCATCTAACTTGTGTTTAAACTGCCACACTTACAGCAAGTCTCGGATGTACACCGACCTCTGACAACTACTAGTTTTTGCAAGTATACACCAACGGCCGATAAACCAATAGAATTACAATGACATAACATTACCTTGATGACAAATCCGTTAATGCTATTCTCATATGACAAATCCAGGCAGAGGAAGTACATTATTGGTCCGAGAAAAGTCGTAAAGCAACTCGTAAAGTGCATTTTATTCAGACAGTTCATCAGGAATTAGTACAGGACACAAGCTAGCTAGTGCGGGAGGATGACCGACCCAGCATACAGCGCAAGAGCCATAAGATTAACCACACCTCAGCACAGAACAAGCCGTGCTGGTTCTAGGTGTTAAGGACCCTACGACTATTTTGTCGTAACGGCCCCATTTTGATCATGTATAAAATCTTATAATATATAGGTACGAATTTTACTTGTAAAACAAAAGCAAATTTAATAACATATTTTTAATTTAACATGTCTGATAATTATGGAGGAACAATGTAGATTAAGCAATATATTTATAGATGTATGATAATTATCGAGGAACAATGTAGATTAAAAAAGTAATATATTCGTTTTCTTTTCTTACGCATGACAAATGTTTTTAGATAACATTCTAAAATTCTAACACCTAAATTGAAAGAAAAATATGACTATATGGGTATAAAGTACTAGAAGTCTGAAATACTATACAAATAATTAATTTGGATTAAAAATAAAAAAAAAAAAAATACCTTGGGTCTAAACAACCGATCGGTGATCATAATTCGTAAGAAGCCAAGAATCAAGATATCGGGTTCACAAACCCGGAGTTCCTCATGGACCGGTTTCCCTACAAAGGTTCAGCCCAACAGACAAACGCTGCGAACAAATGCGCAGCTTTTGGACCGGCCTAAGAGCCTAAACAACAGGCCAGAATGGCGATACAATCACCAACCGAAAGGCCTGACCGAGTAGGAACGGCGCCCGCTTCCGACTCCGGCCCGCCTCTCCGACCGGAGCGCTTGCTTCGGTCTCCAGCCGCCTTTGAACGGCCTCTCCGACCGAAAGGCCTGGCCCAAACACCGATTCCGACTCCGACCCGCGTCTCCGACCAGGGATGCGCCAAACCCCTGCTCACTACTCTTCTCCTACTGGCGCGATCAGAGCCGACTGGAACCAACCGACCGGGGACGCCCGCTCGGTAAGGACCAGGAAACGGACGGAGAAAGTAAGGCAGTGCGCACAAGTCAAACCGCAATACTGGGGACCGTACCATGTACACCTACAGAAACAGTACTCTACGACCTCCCTGGCACGACTGAACTCAAGCAGTGTTGTAGGCGCCGACATTTTCTCCTACAGTATTGTGGCCGCCATTAACTCCCATACGGTAAGGCTCCCCCCACATGCCTCTAGGCATCGACATTGTTGTGGGCGCCGGCATTTACCGTACCAGGCGAACATGGTAAAACCCCTTGCATGCCTTCAGGCATCAACAGTGTGGCAGGCGCCGACGTCTGCCACACCCGAAGAAGACAACACAACCTCCCACGTGCATCTAACATTCAAATAGTATTGTGGGCGCCTACCATCATCCTGTACCCGCTGGCGTGGGCAACAGGGCTTAGTAGCATACATACTCTCTCCCTCTCACTTGTAAGGCCATCCCCTTCATCTATAAAAGGAAATACGCTCTCTCCCAAGAGGGAGAGTCATTCAGGTTGATTCAGATCGATCAAGTTCACATAGCACATAGCGGAGCTCCCATCACCCTCGGTCCCTCAGACTAGAGTTCGACTGGACCTCTTGTACACCTCATCTTTCTCCCTTTCGTTTGTAATCCCACTGCAAACTTCGAGCACCTGGGCTCAGGAATAAAGTCACCGACCGACTCAAACTGGACATAGAGCACGTTGCCTGAACCAGTATAAATCCTGTGTCATTGAGTGCTAGGCCACCTCCTTTCACAACGTACGACAAAACTACAAATATTTACGTGTTGGTCACTTTCTGCACGATTGTTGGCGCCATCCGTGGGGAAGACGTTGTACGTTCAACACTTTTTGGTCATCGGATGGCCCACTTTTCCGCCACCTTCGCCATTGCGGGCTCAGGCGATACGACTCGCTTCGGCTCACTGGAGTTTCCCGCACTCCCACCTATTGGGATGTGGGTTCCACCCGTCTCTGAGCCGTCCTAGGCCTTCCTCTCTAGAAGCCTAGACTTCATCACCGATCGGCTCGGTGTACTATACCTCCGCGAGGAGGCGCTCGTTCTGGCGCCTGTCGGAGGGGCACCCTCCATCGGCTCTAGGACGCATGACGACTTCAATGACAAGACATCTGTGCTTCATTCCGAGTAAACTCTCAGCTCAAACCCTGCTGTGAGTAACGTGCATGCTGTTATTTACATGATATTCTCTATCTTCCGCCGATTATCCGGAGGGACCCCGTTGTCCCCGCCGCGACCGCCATGCGACCGGTTCCCCTACGGCCTCACGTTCCTCGCGGATGCGTACGCCTGGGGGCTCGAAGGATGCCGACACCGCCCCCTCTCACGTCCGAATTCATGGGGATGGCGAGCTATGCTCCCACCTGTTTCCTGAACCTCATGGATGACGATGTTGAGAGTGACGGCTCCAGCATTGGCGACGTGGTGCCTAGCCACCGTCCATCCTGGGAGTGTGCTATGGCGGATGCTCCGAGACAGCCATCGGTGGTAACGGAGTCCTTGCAGACTCACACCCCTCCGGACCCTCGTGTAGAGACCCCGGCGCTCACACGAGAGCACGGCGAGGAGCTACGACAACAGCAGCTAAACCAGCTGCCGACTGCGCCAGCGCGCTTGGCGCACCACACTGCGCCCCGTGCGCATAAACCGGCGAATGATGCCCGGGGTCATGCCCGTCGGCTCCAGCGCAACACCATGGACGAGGGGAACGATCCCCCATAGTTCGCTCGGGCCAATCAGAACATCACCGCTGCTGCAATGCTTCTACGCGGCCTTCCCGAGCCAAACGACCCCCAAGAACTAGCGATCCACCGGAACCTCTGGGCACTGGTGGAGACAGCGCCATTCAACAGGCGGAGAGCTCCGCATCGCGACACCGACTCATGGCCTCTCTCCCCACCAAGGGAGTGGGGACACACCAGACGAATCGCTCTACCCGCTCACCACTACAGCCGCCGAGCGCGGCACAAGAGGCCGCATCTGTGCCTCATCTTGACTTGGTGACCGCTCCGCACCGACCGCCTATACATGAGCGGCTCGGGCCAAACCAAGACACTCGCGGTGTCATCGGCAACCGGAGTCCCAGCCCGGATGGCCTAGGACCATGGGCCTTTGTCCGATGCATCCAGAGAGCGCCGCTCCCATAGTGCTCCAACGCAGGCCGAGGCAAAGGCAAGGCCAAGCGCCGAGATCAGGACAAGGGCCCCTCCACGCAGAGGGGGAAAAAGAACAGAAAAGATCGCCGCCAACCGGCCAACTCCACGTTGGTCGCCACAGCTGATCACACGGGCAAGCAACCCTAGCATGACCTTTCGGGCCACTTCAACGAGCTCATGGAGAGCTCGTGCACCAACCACGCCTACCCTGTCACACACCTCTACAAGGACTGCGAGCTCCTCAAGCGCCTTCTGCGACAGGCCGGCGGGCCAAAGGAAGAAAAAGGTGAAGAAGCAGCGGCCAAGAAAGGGGGCGTAGCGGGCAAGGATCCGGACGACTGAAGGCCGAGGTGATCTGACTGGACGCCTACCGACTAAAGGATGACAATGTTCTCGCCAACGCTTGGAACAATTATGTAATTTCTTCCCCTAAAATTTAGTCTTACCATTGTTTACTTAACGTTTGCTCCTATAAAAGCACCCCGACCCGAACACTATCGGCCTGGGTCGCTCGGGGGCTCCACGAGGGTGCACTACTACCTCTCTTTTTGTTTACTGACATATGGTAAAACTCCTTCCTACCCGAACAAAAGGGTAGTTTGTTCCTTTAAATTGCCTTTCGTAACTTTGCTTTAAAATATTCCGATCGATTGCACCCCGTCTCTACCTACGGTTACGAGCAGCTGAGCCACGCGGGCCATGCCCGGGCTCCTAAGGTTGTAGCCTATGGGACGAATGGGCAAGTATGAAAAACAAAGAATAAAAAACAAAATTATGCTAAGGTAAAACTAAGGAACGAAAGGGACAAGCTTCCCCGAATGGAGTGACTCCATCACAAAAAACGAAACCGATTGTAGTCATTGAGTACACAAGAACGTTTACACGGGGGCTCCCCCATGAACTTAAACTTTTTACATCTGCTAAACTACTTATACTTTACAAGCTATTGGGGCTACCCGGCGGCATCTGTTGTCGGTGCGACCGGCGAAGGCATGGGCTGCTCACTCCCCGGCTGGACGATATTCGGCTCGGTTGAAGGCGGGGCGATGTCCACTTCCGACCTAGGCTTTGCGCCATCCGCAGCCTGGGTGACATCCCCCTGACGCACGGTTTCGGCTATGTCCTCACGACGGGCATCCATCACCCACTGCGCAAAGACTTGATCTGCCACCAACCTTGCGTGCGGCAGCAAGCTCTCCCTAAGTGATTGGATGTCCTCCGTGCTCAAGCCATCGGCATACCCGCTGCAGATAGTGGCGAAGTCTAGGTTCGGGTGGTACATCACCACCGAAGTCAACACCTCGACGCTCCATAGAACAGCCCGTGTGTGATGAGGGCCCAAACCTCATCCGAAACCTCCACCAGCTGGATGGCGGGCAC